AAAAAATTTTAAAAATTTTCAATTTTCAATTCATATATATCTCTATTGTATTTTTTATAATTAATTAGTAATAAAAAATTTAAAAAATTTTCAATTTTCAATTCATATATATCTCTATTATATTTTTATTTTTTCGCAAGAAAAAAATTTCACTTCCTTCCAACTAACCAACAAATATTTCCTGCCTTTAGGCAATAAATTCGATAATTAATTTTTTCTTCTTCCGAAAATACAAACAATGATAATCAATGTATATTGATGTCGTACATTGTCAACATCATTTATCAAATCCTATTCTAATAAATTTTATTTTTCCTTTTTTTGCAAAAATTTTCATGTTTTTTGTTTTGTTTTTCAGAAAAGAAAAATATCATTTATAAGCTTCAACAACATGTTTATATGTTTAATTTAAAATGAAAATTATAAATGATATATTAAATAGTTTATCAATTATTTAAAGTAATACCAATCAATGATAATGTGATAAATTGATGAATTGAAAATAAAATATAACATTGATAATAAACATTGATTGTTAAGTATTATCATTAATCAATTTTAAATTGAGTACATACTTTTGTGATTGATTGCAAAACATAGTGTATTTTAAAATTATTTTGAAATTTCGAATTGTTGATTGAATTTTTGATTGTATTATTTGACAAATTATTTTTGCCAACATTTTATATCATAATTATTCTCATTAATTAGTACCAAAACTTAGTCTATCAATGATGATTACAATGCAATAATATAATCATATCTTTTATCAAAACTTTTCAATGATAATATCAATTATCATTTATCAGAAATGTTCCGCTTATCAAATTATTTGCTAGAGAAATGAGCAATAATTGAATGCTTTATAAGCTTAAAATGGATTAAAAATTATTATAGAATTATAATGAATTTAACTTTGAAAGAAATTTAAAAAGGAAATTAAATTGGAAATTAAATAATTCCCTTATCTTACTTCATCAACAATTATTTTCCACAAAAATCATATTGTACCAGTAATGAATTAACAATTGTATTTTCCAATGTGTAATTATATTTCGATAATATTCTTGTAATCCAAGAGAAAGAGAAGCGCAATAAATTCATTTTAATTAACAGATTTGAATTAATAAATTAATTAATGGATTAATTTTAATTAATAGTGCAATTTCGATGGGTAAAACGGGAGAAAATGTACATTAACAAAGTTGTGATTAGAAATCAAAGTAATTAAAATATTCAATTAGCAGTGAAATAACGTGTAAAAGTGATGGATTTCGATGCTCTACTTGCTGAGGTAACAGTTTAACAGCTTATTATGAATTTGATAATATATTAATTAAATGTAATTAATTAAGGAAAAGATATCACAAGTTTCTAAATGGAAGAAAGAACGAAAGATAAATAGTAATTAACAATTACTTATTCATAATTACTGTAATTAAATGACCAGAAAATAGTGATAGGGCAAAGTAAACATTTTGTTTATTTTCATCACAAAGAAATTTAATTTAAATTATATTTAATTTTATAAAATTTAACGGAATTTATTCCGAAATCTTTACATTTTTTGAACTTTTTAAATGACAATATTTAAAATTATATTTTTTTATAAAGCGGAATTAAAACTTTTAAAAAGTAATTTTTAGGTTGGCGATTTTGGTCCATTTCAAATTACATTATTTTTTGTAATATGTTTACCGGCAAGTTTACCTTCCGCATTTTCGGCTTTCAATCAACCATTTGTTGTTGGTCAACCTGATCATCGTTGTCGCTTACCAGAAGGTCGCGATGATTTAACTCCAATGAATGAATTTGCTACATCGGTATTTGTTGGAATTTTATAAATTTTTATAAATTTTAAACTTCATTAATAATCCATTTCAAATTTACTACAATTAATATTGTTTATAATTTTTTTTTTATTTTTTTAAATTTTCAACATTCTTTAAAATATTTATATGAAAAAGAAAATTTTTTTTTTTCAGGAAGAAATGAATTGTCGACAATATAATGCTACCGAAGTTGATCAATTTTTAAATTCTACCACTAATTTTATCAATGTGAAAGAATATTTGCAAAATTTATCATTGATATCATGTCAAAAAGGTTGGATCTATGATGATAGCATCTATGTTGACACATTGGTCACTGAGGTATTACATTTCTTCCCTACTTTTATTTTACTAATTAATGATGAATTAAAATTTTTAGTTAATTACATGTCATATATTTGTAATCTCGCATAAATTTAAAAAAAAAAAAAGGAAACTTAATAAGCTGATATCTTAATCTGGTAAAGTACGTGTATTAGTATGAAATAATGTGCATATAGATGCATTGTACTTTAATTAACGTGTATTATCACGTAGCAATCTGCGTGCACATGCATTACACCATATGTCATGTGTATCATTATGCGACAATGTGCGTATGGATGCATTAAGTTACGTGTATCATCATGCGCCAATCTGCGTGTAGAATGCATTGCATCTTTAGTTACATGTATCATCATGTAGCAATCTGTGTGTAGATTCATTGCACCTTAAGTTACATGTATCATCATGAGGTAATCTGCGTAGATGGATTGCACCTTAAGTTACGTGTAATCTGCGTGTAGATGCATTGCATTGTATCTTAAATTACTTTGTTTTATAAATTGTTCGTAATATACATTATTTTTGATATATATATATATATATATAGAGAGAGAGAGAGAGAGAGAGAGTAATATACGGAAAGTGTACGTATTACAAATAATTATTTTATACTCGAAAAAAATCTTACGTTTACGTCAACATCACATGCTTACGTCTGAAACGTCATTTTACAAATGAATCAAAATTACATATATTAATCAGTCATTTCATTTAATAATAAAATATTTTACATCTTTCTTAGTGTTGAAAAATATACAAACTTTTTTCCGTCTTATTTCGATACAATGTAAATATTAACGCTAAAAAATATTCCTATATCATAATGAAATTAATTATACGAATTAAATTTGAAATCCTTTCCATCATTCTCTTAATTTACTCTATCGATAAGTTTTAATGATTTCTTATTGTTAGACAATATACAATGTCAAAGGTTAACCGCTGTTCAGCTAATTTGTCATCTAAAAAAAAATAAATAAAAACAAGGAAAAAAAAAAGAAAAAAAAAACAAAAATAGAGACGAAATAATCAGAATGATTTATTTGTTGTTAGATAATATACAATGTCAAAGGTTAACCATTGTTCAGATAATTTGTCATCTAAATATAAAAACAAAA